GGTATCTGTAATTCTATCTGGGTATTCAAATTTCTGTTACCCACTAGTTTTTACACATGTGGGTATTTAAGTAAATATTTAAAAACACCACTCATCTAGTCCCTGCAAGCTGGTGTCGTGTGGGTTTGAGAGCTTTATAGGACTCAAAAATACCACGATGCTTCCACAAGAAAGTGTGATGGCAAATGATCATGACGTAACTGTCACCGTGGAGTTTGGCAAGGTTGACAGAATGTCTGTTTATAATTTCAAAATAAGTTGCTGATTTGCTAATCGAATACGCAGGGTTACTTCACAATATTTTGATGATACGCACAAGTTTTATTTTTGTAGCGAATCTGTAATGTTTGTTGCGTATTTGATACGCTTGGATTTTATTTTACTGCGTATTTCTGCATTTTTTATGTGTATTTTACGCAGATACGCAGCTTATCTGGAGCTCTGTAAACCATCATCACATTCAGCTGGAAATGATGTAAGAATCTACATCGAATGGTCACCATATGCCGTATGCACATTTACCAACAACTATACTCCCGACATCCTGAATTATAAGTAATCCCTTAAAATGGTGTGAACTACGTGGAAGTTATCAATATAATTTCTACCTATCTTGTGTAAGAAAGCTTTGTGAGATAATCTCTATTCATCTATGACTCATCCCGATATACTCGAAATACTGGCGATGTGACGTTAAATCTTAACTCACTCACTCACTATTCATCTATGTATTGAAGTCAGCGAGATAATCTCTACCTACCTTGTGTATGGGTGAGTGAGTGAATGAGTGAGTTGGGTTTAACGCCGCTTTTAACAGTATTCCAGTTATATCACAGCGTGTGAGCTTAATGTGGGAGGAAAGCCCGAAGTGATGCATATCTTATGTATGGAAGTTAGCGAGATAATCTCTACCTATCTTATGTATGGAAGTTAGCGAGATAATCTCTACCTATCTTATGTATGGAAGTTAGCGACATAATCTCTACCTATCTTATGTATGGAAGTTAGCGACATAATCTCTACCTATCTTATGTATGGAAGTAAGCGACATAATCTCTACCTATCTTATGTATGTAAGTTAGCGACATAATCTCTACCTATCTTATGTATGTAAGTTAGCGACATAATCTCTACCTATCTTATGTATGGTAGTTAGTGACATAATCTCTACCTATCTCATGTATGGAAGTTAGCGACATAATCTCTACCTATCTTATGTATGGAAGTTAGCGAGATAATCTCTACCTATCTCATGTATTGAAGTCAGCGAGATAATCTCTACCTATCTTATGTATGGAAGTTAGCGACATAATCTCTACCTATCTTATGTATGGAAGTTAGCGAGATAATCTCTACCTATCTCATGTATTGAAGTCAGCGAGATAATCTCTACCTATCTTATGTATGGAAGTTAGCGACATAATCTCTACCTATCTTGCGCATGGAAGTTAGCGACATTATCTCTACCTATCTTGCGTATGGAAGTAAGACATAATCTCTACCTATCTTGCGTATGGAAGTTAGCGACATAATCTCTACCTATCTTATGTATGGAAGTTAGCGACATAATTCTACCTATCTTATGTATGGAAGTTAGTGACATAATCTCTACCTATCTTATGTATGGAAGTTAGCGACATAACCTCTACCTATCTTGTGTATGGAAGTTAGCAACATAATCTCTACCTATCTTGTGTATGTAAGTTAGCGACATAATCTCTACCTATCTTATGTATGGAAGTTAGTGACATAATCTCTACCTATCTTGTGTATGGAAGTTAGCGACATAATCTCTACCTATCTTATTTATGGAAGTTAGCGAGATAATTCTACCTATCTTATGTATGGAAGTTAGCGACATAATCTCTACCTATCTTGCGTATGGAAGTTAGCGACATAATCTCTACCTATCTTATGTATGGAAGTTAGCGAGATAATTCTACCTATCTTATGTATGGAAGTTAGCGACATAATCTCTACCTGTCTTATGTATGGAAGTTAGCGACATAATCTCTACCTATCTTATGTATGGAAGTTAGCGACATAAACTCTACCTATCTTATGTATGGAAGTTAGCGACATAATCTCTACCTACCTTGTGTATGGAAGTAAGCGACATAATCTCTACCTATCTTATGTATGGAGTTAGTGACATAAACTCTACCTATCTTATGTATGGAAGTTAGCGACATAAACTCTACCTATCTTATGTATGGAAGTAAGCGACATAATCTCTACCTATCTTATGTATGGAAGTTAGCAACATAATCTCTACCCATCTTATGTATGGAAGTTAGCGACATAATCTCTATCTATCTTGTGTATGGAAGTTAGAGAGATAATCTCTACCTATCTTATGTATGGAAGATAGCGACATACATGACATAATCTCTACCTATCTTATGTATGGAAGTTAGCGAGATAATTCTACCTATCTTATGTATGGAAGTTAGCGACATAATCTCTACCTGTCTTATGTATGGAAGTTAGCGACATAATCTCTACCCATCTTATGTATGGAAGTTAGCGACATAATCTCTACCTATCTTAAGTATGGAAGTAAGCGACATAATCTCTACCTATCTTATGTATGGAAGTTAGTGACATAATCTCTACCTATCTTATGTATAGAAGTTAGCGACATAATCTCTACCTATCTAATGTATGGAAGTTAGCGACATAATCTCTACCCATCTTATGTATGGAAGTTAGCGACATAATCTCTACCTGTCTTATGTATGGAAGATAGCGACATAATCTCTACCTATCTTATGTATGGAAGTTAGCGACATAATCTCTACCTATCTTATGTATGGAAGTTAGCGACATAATTTCTACCTATCTTATGTATGGAAGTTAGCGACATAATCTCTACCTATCTTATGTATGGAAGATAGTGACATAATCTCTACCTATCTTATGTATGGAAGTTAGCGACATAAACTCTACCTATCTTATGTATGGAAGATAGCGACATAATCTCTACCTATCTTATGTATGGAAGATAGCGACATAATCTCTACCTATCTTATGTATGGAAGTTAGCGACATAATCTCTACCCATCTTATGTATGGAAGTTAGCGACATAATCTCTATCTATCTTGTGTATGGAAGTTAGAGAGATAATCTCTACCTATCTTATGTATGGAAGTTAGTGACATACATGACATAATCTCTACCTATCTTATGTATGGAAGTTAGCGACATAATCTCTACCTGTCTTATGTATGGAAGTAAGCGACATAATCTCTACCCATCTTATGTATGGAAGTTAGCGACATAATCTCTACCTATCTTAAGTATGGAAGTAAGCGACATAATCTCTACCTATCTTATGTATGGAAGTTAGTGACATAATCTCTACCTATCTTATGTATGGAAGTTAGCGACATAATTTCCCCCACCTATCTTATGTATGGAAGATAGCGACATAATCTCTACCTATCTTATGTATGGAAGTTAGCGACATAATCTCTACCTATCTTATGTATGGAAGATAGCGAGATAATTCTACCTATCTTATGTATGGAAGTTAGCGACATAATCTCTACCTATCTTATGTATGGAAGTTAGCGACATAATCTCTACCTATCTTATGTATGGAAGATAGCGACATAATCTCTACCTATCTTATGTATGGAAGTTAGCGACATAATCTCTATCTATCTTGTGTATGGAAGTTAGCGACATAATCTCTACCTATCTTATGTATGGAAGTTAGCGACATAATCTCTACCTATCTTATGTATGGAAGTAAGACATAATCTCTACCTATCTTATGTATGGAAGTTAGACATAATCTCTACCTATCTTATGTATGGAAGTAAGACATAATCTCTACCTATCTTATGTATGGAAGTAAGACATAATCTCTACCTATCTTATGTATGGAAGTAAGACATAATCTCTACCTATCTTATGTATGGAAGTAAGACATAATCTCTACCTATCTTATGTATGGAAGTAAGACATAATCTCTACCTATCTTATGTATGGAAGTTAGCGACATAATCTCTACCTATCTTATGTATGGAAGTAAGCGACATAATCTCTACCTATCTTATGTATGGAAGTTAGCGACATAATCTCTACCTACCTTGTGTATGGGTGAGTGAGTGAATGAGTGGGTCGGGTTTAACGCTGCTTTTAACAGTATTCCAGTTATATCACGGCGTGTCAGCTTAATGTGGGAGGAAAGCCTGAAGTGATGCAGGTCTCAGACGTTTACCACTTCGGTGAAACCCACGAGCACGGGTATAGTGCTGACAAACCTAGAAACATGATCGGGGCGAACCGAGATTTGAATCCACAATCATTGGTTTCTGTGATTATCTCTACCTATCTTATGTATGGAAGTTAGCGAGATAATTTCTATCTATCTTATGTATGGAAGTTAGCGACATAATCTCTACCTATCTTATGTATGGAAGTAAGCGACATAATCTCTACCTATCTTATGTATGGAAGTTAGCGACATAATCTCTACCTATCTTGCGTATGGAAGTTAGTGAGATAATCTCTACCTATCTTATGTATGGAAGTTAGCGACATAATCTCTACCTATCTTATGTATGGAAGTTAGCGACATAATCTCTACCTATCTTATGTATGGAAGTTAGCGACATAATCTCTACCTATCTTATGTATGGAAGTAAGCGACATAATCTCTACCTATCTTGCGTATGGAAGTTAGCGAGATAATCTCTACCTATCTTGCGTATGGAAGTTAGCGAGATAATCTCTACCTATCTTATGTATGGAAGTTAGAGAGATAATTCTACCTATCTTGCGTATGGAAGTTAGCGAGATAATTCTACCTATCTTATGTATGGAAGTTAGAGAGATAATTCTACCTATCTTGCGTATGGAAGTAAGTGACATAATCTCTACCCATCTTGCGTATGGAAGTTAGCGAGATAATTCTACCTATCTTATGTATGGAAGTTAGCGACATAATCTCTACCTATCTTGTGTATGGAAGTTAATAATCCCTGCTCACCTCGTAATATGCGGAGAAGTCGAGCATTTCGCGGAGATCCAGCTTCTGCGCCTGCAGCAGGAACTTGTTGAGTGACGAGGCGTACTGCCGGTCAGCTTCGTACCGCGAGATGAGGCACTTCCTGAAGTTCTCCAGCAGGCGAATCTCGGCATCCTGGATCCCAAGCAAACCCTCATGGGACACCCTCCCCTGGAGGTCACTGCCGAACCCCATCGGGAAACTGAAACAGATCAGACACGTCTATACATGACAAGATGGGTGCAAGCAAACCCTCCCCTGGAGGTCACTGCCGAACCCCATCGGGAAACTGAAACAGATCAGACACGTCTATATATGACAAGATGGGTGCAAGCAAGACCCTGTGGGACACCCTTCCCTGGAGGTCACTGCCGAACCCCATCGGGAAACTGAAACAGGTCAGACACATCTATACATGACAAGATGGGTGCAAGCAGGACCCTGTGGGATACCCTCCCCTGGAGGTCACTGCCGAACCCCATCGGGAAACTGAAACAGGTCAGACACATCTATACATGACAAGATGGGTGCAAGCAGGACCCTGTGGGATACCCTCCCCTGGAGGTCACTGCCGAACCCCATCGGGAAACTGAAACAGGTCAGACACATCTATACATGACAAGATGGGTGCAAGCAGGACCCTCGTGGGACACCCTCCCCTAAAGGTCACTGCCGAACCCCATCGGGAAACTGAAACAGATCAGACACATCTATACAGGGCGTGGAGTCATCCCACAGATGACATCCTTACCTTGTCAGCTTGCTGACGGGGTCAACCACTTTGGTCATGTGGACAAGGCAAATGACCTCTGAGCAGAAGGTCTGTGGTTCGAATCCCATCACAGGACTCGGAAATTTTATGGCAGCTACATTGGCGCCCAACGTGGGGCTGAGCACGTTCATATTAGATTTGAGCAAAACAAGCCTCAGTACCCTACTATGCGGCCCGGGACGTGCCTTCTGTTGACGGGGGAGTATGTAGCAGGGCATGGAGTCATCCCACAGATGACATCCTCACCTTGTCAGCTTGCTTACGGGGTTAACCTCTTTGGTCATGTGGACAAGGCGTCCGACCTCTGATCAGAAGGTCTGTGGTTCGAATCCCATCACGGGACTCGGAAATTTTATGGCCGCTACAACAAGATGGGTGCGAGCAGGACCTTGTGAGAGACTCTACCCTGAAGGTCTTACACCCACAATGAAGCATGTATCTGATATCTACTAGTTGTCCTGATAAATATATAGAGATTATCAGTTGAGTGTGCTTCCATGGCATAAATATCACATACTAGCAATACAACTGTATAATCACTTACTAGCAATACCATTGTATTATCACATACTAGAAATACAATTGTATTATCGCATACTAGCAATACAATTGTAATATCACTTACTAGCAATACAATAGTATTATCGCATACTAGCAATACAATTGTAATATCACTTACTAGCAATACAATAGTATTATCACATACTAGAAATACAATTGTATTATCGCATACTAGCAATACAATTGTAATATCACTTACTAGCAATACAATAGTATTATCACATACTAGCAATACAATTGTATTATCGCATACTAGCAATACAATTGTAATATCACTTACTAGCAATACAATAGTATTATCACATACTAGCAAAACAATTGTATTATCGCATACTAGCAATACAATTGTATTATCACATACTAGCAATACGATAGTATTATCGCATACTAGCAATACAATTGTATTATCGCATACTAGCAATACAATTGTATTATCACATACTAGCAATACGATAGTATTATCGCATACTAGCAATACAATTGTATTATCACATACTAGCAATACAATTGAATTATCACTTAAAGCAATACAATTGTATTATCGCATACTAGCAACACAATTGTATTATCACATACTAGCAATACAATTGTATTATCACATACTAGCAATACAATTGTATTATCACATACTAGCAATCCAATTGTATTATCACATACTAGCAATAAAATTGTATTATCACACAGCGTTCCCGTTTCCAGTAATTGCCAGTTTTTTACCTCTAATTACCAGTTTACCAGTAAAATTAGGCTTGGGCCGGTAATTCATGTGACTGCCAGTCTCTGTGGACCGACCGGCAAATAAAGTACCTTATAAATCTATGTTGAACAAAACATCGGTGATATTCATATAAGTACATTTTTCGAACAAAGTCAGTCTGTTATCATCAGGGTTTCCCCTTGTCTATCACTTGGTTAAATATTCATTTGTAGCGACTTCGTCTCGAAATATTAAAACAGAGAAAGAGAAAATTGTGAGTGAAGTTGGAGTGAATGACATATAGATCTAACTAAGTTACTTCAGAGATGACATCTTTGCACTGAACATGATGTTGAAAGAATTAAAACCAAATAATTTTCATACGTCTTTTTAATTGTTGAAGTTGGGACTGGCAAAAATTAGGGGGTACTGGTAATCATCTGGTTCAACAGACTGGTTTATAACATCAATAAAGTTGTCCATTGTACATGCTGTATGATAAAATCAATTTTTGGAGAGTCTATGAAATATATTTTTCAAACAATCGCTATGTTTTGATGCAAAATACCTTTTTATCATCAGCGTAGTGCATTAGGTTTGGGACGGGTAACCATGGTAACGCAGGTCGGGTGGGTACTGAGTGGGACCCCAGTACCCACAGGACTACCCGGACCCATAGTAAGTCATGTGATACAATGTTTAAGGACAAAAAATCACTATGAATCAATGTGTACGCCACAAGTCAATAATGTTCGCATTTCTTTCCAACTAGTGTAGTCACTACACACACATTCCTTCTGCTCCGGTAAAGCAATTCATAATCAGACATTCCGTACCCAACGCTTGAGACCTACAGATGGTACCTGATGCGGGTTCGGTCAGCAAGGGCCGGTTATGGGTATATCTAACATATTTTGTTTATTATTTACAGTGGTTACCATGGTTACCCAAGGACCCGCCAAAATTTCCCATTATCAAGTGTCCCCAATGTATATGGACAAGTTAGGTGAGGTGTGGTGAGGGTGAAATGGGGTTTCAAGTCTTGTTCAAGATTATCGCACTTATTTAGTGATGTCCATGTGCGTGCGTGCAGTGATTTTGAAGCGTGACATAGATCCACTACATGGCTATCTGCGTCAGTGAGTTTGAATTAATTTCAGTGAATTCACGGTGTGTAGATTTCCTCCCCCTCTTGACCTCCAGCCCACCTCCCCCTCTTGACCTCTATCCCCTCTCTGCCACCATCCCACTTTCGGCCTCCACTCCCTCTCAACCCCTTCCCCCCCCCCTTCTTGACCTCCATCCCTTCTCAACCACCTCCCCCTTTTGACCTCCATCCCCTCTTGACCTCAAACCCCTCTCAACCACCTCCCCCTTTTGACCTCCATCCCCTCTCAACCACCTCCCCCTCTCTGCCACCATCCCACTTTCGGCCTCCACCCCCTCTCAACCCCCCCTCTTGACCTCCATCCCTTCTCCACCCCCTCCCCCTCTTGATCTCCCCCCCTCTAACCCTCCATCCTTTCTCAACCCCCCCTCCTCTTGACCTCCATCCCATCTCCACCACCTCCCCCTCTCCCCTTCTTAACCTCCATCCTTTCTCAACCACCTCCCCCTCTTGACCTCCATCCCCTCTCAACCATCCCCCCCCTCCCTTCTCAACCACCTCCCCCTCTTGACCTCAAACCCCTCTCAACCACCTCCCCCTTTTGACCTCCATCCCCTCTCAACCACCTCCCCCTCTCCCCTTCTTAACCTCCATCCTTTCTCAACCACCTCCCCCTCTTGACCTCCATCCCCTCTCAACCATCCCCCCCCTCCCTTCTCAACCACCTCCCCCTCTTGACCTCAAACCCCTCTCAACCACCTCCCCCTTTTGACCTCCATCCCCTCTCAACCACCTCCCCCTCTCCCCTTCTTAACCTCCATCCTTTCTCAACCACCTCCCCCTCTTGACCTCCATCCCCTCTCAACCATCCCCCCCCTCCCTTCTCAACCACCTCCCCCTCTTGACCTCAAACCCCTCTCAACCACCTCCCCCTTTTGACCTCCATCCCCTCTCAACCACCTCCCCCTCTCCCCTTCTTAACCTCCATCCTTTCTCAACCACCTCCCCCTCTTGACCTCCATCCCCTCTCTGCCACCATCCCACTTTCGGCCTCCATCCCCTCTCAACCACCTCCCACTCTCGACATCCACCCCCTCTCGGCCTCCCCCCCTTATCTGCCACCACCCCATCACGGCCTCCACCCCGTTTCGTCCTCCATCCACTCACTGCAACCACCACCTTTCTGCCTCCACCCCCTCTGTGCCACCTACCCCTCTGTGCCACCACCCCCTCTGTGCCACCTACCCCTCTGTGCCACCACCCCCTCTCTGCCACCTACCCCTCTGTGCCACCTACCACTCTCAGCCTCCACCCCCTCTGTGCCACCACCCCCTCTCTGCCACCACCCCCTCTGTGCCACCACCCCCTCTCAACCACCAATGACTGGTAATAGCCACTGGTTGCGCTACGATCGAGCCCAGGAATGCCAGCCCAGTTCGGCAAGGGTGGAAAGTGGACTTTTATAGTCAGTTAAGTCTCTTGCCTTTGGAAGATGGGATACTTAATGCAAGGATATGAATATACTGATCAGTGTTCTCAATACTGGGGGGGGGGGGGGGGGGGGGGACATTATACATGACGACAGTCATCACACACCAATATTTTCAAACACTGTTTGCCTACATGGGCAAGATTATCACAGCAGGCACGCAACGTTGGATCAACGTTTAAAATTGGCTGCTTTTAGGTTGTGACGTTGATCAACCAAAATGCAACGCTGTATCAATGCTAAATCTTAAACGTTGAGCCATGGTTGTGATACTGACGTCACAACAATGTTGAATTTAAGACGTACGCACATCATTTCAATTTGATGTGCGCCTATAGGAATATCGACAAATCACCCTACTTTTCCACTCCGTTTCACCTGTTTTAACACTGCGTTGAAACCCAAGCATGATCAGTTAGCCTGCCAATTCAAATTTGAAGTGTCAACATCAGTTCAATTTTCATATGAAACCAATTTGCAATGTTGTTTCAACGCTGAAGGGTGATGTTTGTTCATCGTAATGCCTGCTGGGTATATATCATCCCTGTGTTATGGGTTTTTGAACACCTAAGAAAGTTTCGTAGTTTTCACACTCATCACACTTTCTCACTAGTTATTTAAGACAACTTTATCTTAAAATCCAGCCATGATCTGAGTATTTACAATGTTTGTGTGGCGCCATAACCCTCGTTGTAGCAGGAGTACTTGCGATAAACATGGCAGTCCAAAAACACAAGATGTCCGAAAACATATTATTACAATGATATGGGATGCCATGATGTAACATTGCCAACTGTAAAAGAACATACACCATGGCAACAAGTTATTTCAACTCACAAAGTATATACAACGTGTGTATTGTGTTTTTTTCGTTGAGTCATGAGCACTGTACGAAATAATGATAGATATTCATGCACCAGGTGCACTGCACTTAAACAAGTACAGCTTGTGTTTACAATGATTATTGTTTACACCTAAATTATATCACACTTTAAATTTATTGCGAGCATAATAAATTACAATTTGACGGCATATTATTTCAGCTGACCTCTTGATTCAGAAATGTCAATATCTTATCTATTCATTTCACAATAATTTATTTTCAACTCTCAAAACATTCATTGGACATCTATTTAATACACCTGTATCGTGACCTAACTTTCAGCTGCCCCAACTATCTCCTTTACTCCCACAACAACATAGGAATAAAATAACAATCGTAAATCATATTTGATAAAATCAGTAGAGAAATGCCCACGATCTGTCAAAGGCCTCCGGCAGATCGCCTGTTGAATGAGATGGGTGCACTGACAGGCTTCTCGTCCAACTGTTGCTTCAGCACGTGAAGGATATATTCTTCTTACCTTTCGTTGAGCCGACACTCTACTGAATGAAATCCATAGGGCGCTAGTCACACGGTATCAGAATGAACAACATATCCTAGTCTCATATCTCCATCACGTTACAAGATGCCATAATACTTCCGCTTTTCTGGGGTGTGAAGTACGTCACTCGATCTGTTGTTGTGCACCTGCAATGCCGCGTCACCAATTCGTGCATTATAGGGTTGGATACAAAACGTAACTCTTATTGTATACATACGAATTATGATTATTCCCGAATCAGAATGTATTGTAAAGTTTTTATTGAAGAGCGTGCATGTTGCTTGGAATAGAATGTTGAATAGACACTATCTTATTTCTTACACTAACGTACTTCTCTGCATGCAAAGCAGTAAATAAATTACATTATTTGTCACGAAATATATTCGCCCCCAGAATAAAATCTCCCCCCCGGCGAATTTATACAGGTACAGTTCGCCCCTCTCGAAATAAACTCTCCCCCACCCTACGAAATAAAATCTCCCCCAGAATATTGAATATCCCCCTACATAAGCCAGTAAAGCTTGTTTGTCAATCCCCATTCATATATTTATATATAAAAAACTGTGGAAACAAAATACATTGTAGAGCTTGGGTTGTTTGCATTAAAATCAGAACAAAGGAATCTGTAATTAAAATGTGTAAGGTGTAAAAAGCTTTTACATAAATGAGAAAAATACATGGGGGAGAGTAAATACATAATTCTATATAATTTTCTTGAATGGAGCACATTTGAAAAAAAAGTTTAAAAATAATCCAAGCATATGCGATATTACCGTGTTTAAAGAATTTAGATCAGTCATATATTTCTAACTTAGATCACCCGTATGTAACCCAGGTAAAACATGCATATCGGGGAACATTGTAATGTTGGTACAGTTTATCGTGTCTTCGTGCTTTATAATTAGCATTACACATATTTTTCATATTCCTCAAGGTTTTAATGTTTATTTGTTTATGTACTTTTTTATTTATTTTTTTCTCTCCTTTATTTTTTCTGGGCTATATATTTATCTAAATATACATTTAGTTACTTGTATGTGTGGGGGTGTTTAACAGAAACTTGGTTGCACCATGATATTCTAGCCACTGATATTACACTGATACCATTTTCAAATCGTAGCCTGTATTAAGGAATATATTTTAGATCTTAAATCAGAGTATAACGGACAGCCTGAGCTGGAGGCGCGCGTGGATATGTTGACCGTTTTTACGTAGTTAGTGAGTGAGTGAGTGAGTATGGTTTTACGCCGCTTTTAGCAATATTCCAGCAATATCACGGCGGGGGACACCAGAAATGGGCTTACACATTGTATCCATGTCGGGAATCGAACCTGGGTCTTCGCCGTGACGAGCGAACGCTTTAACCACTAGGCTACCCGACCGCCCCTTTTACGTAGTTAGTGTTAAAACCGAATGTTTGCGAGGATTAATAAGATTTCTGAATTCAGTTACAACAGTAACCGTACATGTATTTGTTACAAAAAGTCATTTCATTCAAATTTGTTTGGTGTGATATATGTCTTATAATTATTTTAGGATGGAAGGTACAGTTACCAAATAAAATATGCTAAGATATAAATTCATTATGACCGGGACACCGTCCCTATTTTCAGTGATATATTTGATGCGTTATCCAATATAGCTGTACTTGAAATTCCAAAAAATCCACAATCAATGGTCATTTTCGGGCGAAACATAAACTTCTTTACAAATTGTAAACTTGTCAAACATAGTTATTGCTTCAGAATTGCATAATTAATACAAAATGCAATAATACAATATAATACAAAAAATAATTCTCATGTCTTTTCATTCCTAATATCAGCACGCGTCGTTAAGAGCAAAATAAACTTCCCGGCATGACATCAAAAGACGCTCTGGTGAGATTTACTGTATATCTGGTGGGTTGTTGTTTTACGCCGCACTCAGCAATATTCCAGCTATATAACGGTGATCTGTAAATAATCGACTCTGGACCAGTCATTCCAGTGATTGACACCATGAGCATCGATTCAAATGGTGAGGTGAGGTGAAATGGGGTTTAACATCGCGTCCAAGATTATTGCCCTTATATAGCGACGTGCATGCACATGTGTGTGTTTGTGTGGCTGCTTGTACTAGTCCGGACTGATGCCGATTTATAGTGCTAGCCCACTGAGATACCATGCCGCAGTTTAACATAGATACCCCACTCGGACTTAATTTAGTATACTGACTCCGAGCCGAACAGTCCTTGTTTTAGCCCCTTAACGCCGAGCGCCAGACAGGGCAACAACAAGTTTCATCGTTTAACGTCTTTTGGTATGACGCTGCCGGGGATCGAACCCCGGACCTTCCGCTCTCCGGGCGGATGCTCTACCACTAGACCACGGAGGCGGTCTCACGTGACATGAAATGAAACGATTCCCCGCGAGTCTGACACCCGATCCATCTAGCGACTCTCACAAGCATGGCTTGATGCACGCGACGTATATTCTTAAATGGAATCCCAATGGGTAATGTTATTTTTGTTTGTTTGTTGTTTTTTGTTTGTTTGTTTAACGCCGCACTCAACAATATTCCAGCTATATGACGGCGGTCTGTAAATAATCGAGTCTGGACCGGACAATCCAGTGATTGACATCATGAGCGTCGATTTACACAATTGGGATACGATATGCATCAACCAAGTCAGCGAGTCTGACCACCCGATGGGTAATAGTTGACGAGAGGTATATATATGCTGTTAGAAAAATGTTAAGCATCACCCATTCTTTATTTTCATACATTGAAAACTGACACCTATAGCTTTTGGAAATATCGACATACGAGGGCTGTTCAAAAAGGTTCTCAACAAAACTAGCAATTGTGAAAGTATTTTTAATTTTCTTTTTCAACATTATCTCCCCGCTTTTCAATACACTTCTCATATCGATAGTGAAGCTTTTCAATTCCAGTCAGGAAGAGGTTTTCTGAAACTACCCTGTAAAAAAATTAATAATTGCAGCTTTGAGGTCATCGTTGTCGTTATAGCGCTTTCCATACAGGTGTTCTTTTACTTTAGGAAAGATGTGGAAATCCCTTGTTGCCATGGCTGGTTATATATCCTCCGCATGATCTCCTAGATTTACATAAGAGAAGTACATTCACTACTCTGTATATCATTTCGGAGGGTATATATCCCCACGTGATGTCCCTGGTGTATATATGTCAGGTAAATTCACTACCCTGTATATCATTCCCGAGGTTATATATCCCCACGTAATGTCCCTGGTGTATATATGTAAGGTAAATTCACTACTCTGTATATCATTATCGAGGTTATATATCCCCATGTGATGTCCCTGGTGTATAAATGTCAGGTAAATTCACTACTCTGTATATCATTCCCGAGGTTATATATCCCAACGTGATGTTCCTGGTGTATATATGTCAGGTACATTCACTACCCTGTATATCATTCCCGAGGTTATATATCCCCATGTGATGTCCCTGGTGTATAAATGTCAGGTACATTCACTACCCTGTATATCATTCCCGAGGTTATATATCCCCACGTGATGTCCCTGGTGTATAAATGTCAGGTAAATTCACTACCCTGTATATCATTCCCGAGGTTATATATCCCCATGTGATGTCCCTGGTGTATATATGTCAGGTACATTCACTACCCTGTATATCATTCCCGAGGTTATATATCCCCATGTGATGTCCCTGGTGTATATATGTCAGGTACATTCACTACCCTGTATATCATTCCCGAGGTTATATATCCCCATGTGATGTCCCTGGTGTATATATGTCAGGTACATTCACTACCCTGTATATCATTCCCGAGGTTATATATCCCCATGTGATGTCCCTGGTGTATATATGTCAGGTACATTCACTACCCTGTATATCATTCCCGAGGTTATATATCCCCATGTGATGTCCCTGGTGTATATATGTCAGGTACATTCACTACCCTGTATATCATTCCTGAGGTTATATATCCCCATGTGATGTCCCTGGTGTATATATGTCAGGTACATTCACTACCCTGTATATCATTCCCGAGGTTATATATCCCCACGTGATGTCCCTGGTGTATATATGTCAGGTACATTCACTACCCTGTATATCATTCTCGATGTTATATATCCCCACGTGATGTCCCTGGTGTATATATGTCAGGTACATACACTACTCTGTATATCATTCCCGAGGTTATATATCCCCATGTGATGTCCCTGGTGTATATATGTCAGGTACATTCACTACCCTGTATATCATTCCCGAGGTTATATATCCCCACGTGATGTCCCTGGTGTATATATGTCAGGTACATACACTACTCTGTATATCATTATCGAGGTTATATATCCCCACGTGATGTCCCCGGTGTATATATGTCAGGTAAATTCACTACCCTGTATATCATTCCCGAGGTTATATATCCCCACGTAATGTCCCTGGTGTATATATGTAAGGTAAATTCACTACTCTGTATATCATTATCGAGGTTATATATCCCCATGTGATGTCCCTGGTGTATAAATGTCAGGTAAATTCACTACTCTGTATATCATTCCCGAGGTTATATATCCCAACGTGATGTTCCTGGTGTATATATGTCAGGTACATTCACTACCCTGTATATCATTCCCGAGGTTATATATCCCCATGTGATGTCCCTGGTGTATATATGTCAGGTACATTCACTACCCTGTATATCATTCCCGAGGTTATATATCCCCACGTGATGTCCCTGGTGTATATATGTCAGGTACATTCACTACCCTGTATATCATTCCCGAGGTTATATATCCCCACGTGATGTCCCTGGTGTATATATGTCAGGTACATACACTACTCTGTATATCATTATCGAGGTTATATATCCCAACGTGATGTTCCTGGTGTATAAATGTCAGGTAAATTCACTACCCTGTATATCATTCCCGAGGTTATATATCCCCATGTGATGTCCCTGGTGTATATATGTCAGGTACATTCACTACCCTGTATATCATTCCCGAGGTTATATATCCCCACGTGATGTCCCTGGTGTATATATGTCAGGTACATTCACTACCCTGTATATCATTCCCGAGGTTATATATCCCCACGTGATGTCCCTGGTGTATATATGTCAGGTACATA